ATATATATATATATATATATATATATATATATATATATATATATATATATATATATATATATATATATATATATATATATATACATATATGTATACTTGTAATTCATTTGTTCATATTTTTTATTGATTCTTGAACATGAGATAAGTGAAACACTCAATTTTAATTTAGATAGGGCAGCCGAACTAGCTGATATATCAGTAGAGAATGGATTAACTTGTGTCATGGCTGCTGCTGATGCTGGATTTGAGAATGTAAGTTTTTCAAACAGTAAAAGGGTGGAAATCTCAGGATGCATCGAAAATACCTAGAAAAACTTAGTTCCCTTTACTGAAATATCAGCGTAATGTGAATAATAGGGATTATGAAATCAAAAAAGAAGTATTCGTTGAGTGACTAAATGACTGAAAAAAAACCCGTAAAACTGGGTTTAGTCATCTATAAGACAATGTAATTGTAGTGGAATGTTAAAAATTTTTTGCAGATTCTCCAGTTACTAATAAATTACGGAGCGGATTGTAACATAACTCAGCATCCGATTTGGGGCGATGATGGTAGCCGAATACATGCGATTGCTGCTGCTGCTCTAAATAATCACCCAAAGTGTGTGGAATTACTTATACCTCATGTTAATAAGGAAATATTGAAGCAAACAGAAGTTTGTTTAAATTCTTAATTTTTCTTGATCTGTTTTCTAATTTGGGGTGATTATTTATTTTTTTCATTGCTGCTGGAAGGATAGAAAAAGAGTTCCCTAGTTACTTCTACCTTCCTAGGTCATGTCGTTTTTTAGTTTAAGGTGCTTTTTCATTTGTTTCAAAATGATGATTCAGCATTGGTTCAGCTGTTAAATTTAATTTAATGCTACTCAAATTTAATGTGATCATCCGTAAACAGTGCAAAATTTCGTTAAACGAATCCAGCATTTTTACTGATCATAGCGACGATACAGCTGTAATTGTTCATGTTCCTTTAATGTTTTGCAAAGTTTAGTCATTTTATTGGTAGGACAATAACTTCTAGGTCGATCCAGTATCAGCAGCTGCGTATAGTGGATCATATGAATCCATATGTTTGTTACTCGATGCTGGTTTTTCGACCGAGGTATGCAACCATATTCACTTTGTTTATGAGCACAGTTTCTCGTCGAAAGATTTCTGATACTCTAACAGCACAGAAGATTATAGATGGTTCAATCGTGATCATATAGCATCGGAAAACATACAATTTAAAAAAAAATGGAATTGCAGAAATGCTGATAAAATCACCTTTTCAGGTTCCTATGTGTTCATGTGAACCAGTTGGCATGATCATTCCATATCTACGGCCGTTATTTTCACGTCGGTATCATACGCCGTTACGTGAAGCCGTTCGGAAAGGATACACTTCAATTGTTGAAATACTTCTTAAAGCTGGAGCTAAGGTACACGTTTTTTACCGGTCGTTTAGAGAAATCATATTGCTTTAACTTATTCATTCATCCTTTCTGTCTTGCACAATTGGAATGATAATGACATTTTGTCGTTTTCCCGAAATCTTAGTTCCATTTTTCGTACTTATTTTGATCTAAAAATTTCTACAATGCATGGCTTGCTTATATGTGCTTTTCTCAGTGTTTTCATTTAGATGACATATATAAAGAACTGTTTCTCGCCGTTTTTGTTCTCATTTCGAAATCGTATCGATCCCGTAATCCTGTACAAATTTTTGGAAAACGATGTTGACATCAATGCCATGAGGTAGTGTATTTAGTCTTAAATGGAAAAGTATCATTCTAAATATTGATGTTAAGCACGCCAAAAAACTGTGGAATATTAAATTTCTGCAAATATAATTCAAGAAATGCCCAATTTCGGTAAACGGTTCTGTCCTTGTTTCTCATGTCCGTGTTACTTTCTTGTCTGTACTAGTTCTTCTTTTCGTTTTTTCTGGATTTGAGTAAATGGTGATTCGAGAGAAAAAAAATCCTCTTTGTTCGAAAATTTTTTTTGGTCAAATTATATAAGATTTGCGGACTTTTTAGTATTGAGCGGACATGCGACGTACCGGATGCATTGGTTAGTGCTTTAGGTACCTGTAATCGGCGACAGCTGCTTTTACTTTTGAGTTGTGGTTTGGATCCAGCTTTGAAGGTAAATAAATGATTTATAATTCATTACCTGTATTTTATAAAGCTGAACTTCCGTTTCTAGTAGATTTCCTAACAGTTATTGTTCACAACATTCCACGAACTTTCATTTCGTGAGTGGCGTATCTGTCACGAAATCTATTTGGGCATAATTTTGAAGTAATACTGTCCTGCTTTTTAGGTGATTTTGGGCTTATTTGATGGTTAAATTCAGTATACAGAGTACTTATGATTACTTCAGCGAAATTTTCCATTTTAGAATTGGTGCAAATGCAAAAATGGTTATTCATTGATGTATGATGTTATGCAGACAACATATGTTGCGGATGTTAATAAATTGATGAAACTTTTGTTGCTTTTCTCGCCTAATATTCCAAGTTGCTGTAATGAGGTGGCAGAAGTTGTCGGCGTTCAGCCTAAGGTAATGCTTAAGTTTTTTCATTAAAATCATCGCTGATTAAATAACGAAGTTTGATGTCATGGTTTCGAGATCCTTATTTCTAGGAGGTTGATAAGGTGAGATACATATTCTTATTGTTTAGTAAGCATTGTGAATTCTTCTGCAGAAATTTCACTAACACAAAGCAGCATATTTTTTTGACCCTTAATATACATAGTTAGACTTTGTTCAATAATAACTTCGCAGATGCGGTCTTTTTCTCACAAATTAAACACGTTGTATATTGCAGATTCCAGAACTTTTGCATTTATGTCGTCTTGCTGTACGGAAGTGTTTCTCGACATCAAAACTCTTACATGGTCGTTTTTTGAATAATCTTCCCATTCCGAAGTCTTTGAGAGATTACATGACTTTCCAGCCTATTCCAGAAGAATTACTGCCGAGTTAGCTTACCTCGAAACCTTCAGATTGCTGTTCATTGAAAATTGCCAACCCTTGTTCTCTTTTTTCTTGGCATTTTTGTACTAGCTTTTTTGTTGCATTTGATTAATCTGCATGATTTTGAATGCAATGTTGTGCCTTAGGAACCTCCAGAACTTTTCATAATTTTCAGTATCATATAATGAGAAACGATTTTAAGTACTTGTCTTCAGTATCAAATTCCATCCCATATTGTCTGCATTGCTAATATTAATTGAACGTATCATATCGTTAAACATTATCCGTTAAAATAAGCTACATTTCGCAGGTCTTCAGGAAAGTACATGAAAACTGATGGCCACGGTCTTATAGAACTGTAATTTGGATAGCAGTGAGAACCCTGTTTTTACCGGGAACTTTTCAGGTAATGTTAATTGCTAACTAACAATGTTGTGAGTTCTGGAGATTTTGTTGTCATAATCATACTGCATTTTCTTGAATTTCATAATGTGCTTTGCTTCTATTTTAAATTACATTAATAATTTTCCTTGTTTATGTTATCAAGAAAGTTATATTGCATATATGTTGTGTTCTTGTATTTTACTATAATGGCTTATGCGCTGATGGTAGGTTTGTATGTATATATGGATATTTTTTTGTTTTCTGGAATTTATCACGCACAAATGAATTGCACTAGTTACTATATTAGAGTTTCAAAAAGCAATTTAATGTTAAGAGACACCTTTTTGGAGAGAGCACATTGGGTTGCTTAGTTTCAGAAATTGTCCTCGATTTGATCAACTTGTTTTGCTCAAATTTTGATCCATCTTCTGGACGTTGGACAGAAAAGATTGATATGAAGTGTTACCAATAGTTCTACTGAGAAAATAATGGAGGCATAATGAGCCAAAGTCATGGTTTCAGGTAAGCCTAGTACAGCCTGGGTAACAATGGGAATTTATAAATTTGAAATATATTCTGGACTAAGGTGGTCCCCTTTTATTAGCTCAAATATTGCAGTTGGTAAAAGTTCACCTACAGTAATACTGAATTACTTGTATTTAAGATTAGAGAGCAAAAGTTAGGGGTCGTCATCCAAGTTTTTAAAGTAAGTTTTTTCAATTACTTGTATTTAAGATTAGAGAGCAAAAGTTAGGGGTCGTCATCCAAGTTTTTAAAGTAAGTTTTTTCCAGGGACTGGATTTTTGTAGTCAGAATGAACTAAATCCGAATATGAAACATTAATATGTGATAAAAAAATGTAGAGAAAGAGGACCATTCTTGACATCTTCAAAACTTTTTTTGTTGTTTCGGAGATATAAACCTCCCAGTGATATTATTCATTATAAAAATCACATTTTTTATACAGCACTGAATATTTGAACAATAAGAAGTTCAAAGGATGCGAAATTCGTATTTCTTGGGTCTTGGCTTCATTTGTAGAATGTTGCAATTTGTAGCAAATACTACTGTAACATTTCGTTTAAAATTTTTACAGTAAATTCCCGTTGGTTAATTGTATGCAACGTTTTCGTCATACTGATGGATATGTTTTGATTAATGATAGAAGATCAAATATTAAATGTTTACGATAGACAAAACAATAATAATGGTAATAAACAACAAAAATTAACTTTACAATATCGTGGTAATTCGTTGTATTCCTGTTTCCATTAGTTCTTGAATACAGTGATATTATAATTAGCGAAAATATTACAATCAAGATGTAAGTTAATTTACTGTATATGCTTCATTTAACTCTCGATTTGATATTCTTGATTCGATATCATTCTATAAAATTCCCGCAAAGTATCATTTTTCTTTTCATCATATCTTCTAATTTATTGTTTTTTTTCTTTTGCTCCCAAAAATTCATTCATATGCGGGTAATATATTTCGATGAACTTTTCAATGTAATGCTGATAGTTATCATTCAATTCAATGATTACTGAAAAAAAAAGAAAAGAAAAGATAATCAGCAAAGGTTTGGATAAATTCATTTACATAATGATTCATATAAATCATTAGATAGATGATGATATTAATTGTTATATTTAAAATTAGTTAAAAACAGACTTCAGTTTCTTCCAGAATTGTTGGCATACGTTCGAATGAATTAAATTGCGCTGAAGTTACACTGCAATCATGTTGACCTGGCCTACATGCCAAGGTTATTAAAGTACCATTTGGTAGAGTTATCGTTCTTTCCTTTGATTTTGTTCCATTTTTGCGACCTATTTTATGTGCAACAGATTAAAATTAATTAATTATAACGATTTTGAATTAAAAATTAGATCTATTTTCTCATCATTTTCCTTTTTTTTCTTATTTTTATGACAGAGAAGATAACCGACAAATAGAATTTATCATATCAATTATCATTTCATTAATTGGGATTGGAATGGATCGGGAATCAATATTTGTTTTCATATGATTTAATTCCTGGTCTAGATAGCTTTTGTATTAGACAACAATATATGTTGATTAAGATAATAACAATAATAATCAGAGGTAATAATAGTAGTAACATAATTAATCATAATTAATTATAAGGTTATAATTAAAATTAAATATTGAATAAACATCTGAGTCTTTTAGATGAAGAGATTAAGTGAGCTATGTAAGAGTAAAACATTCAATTCTACCTTAGAAAAAAAAAAGAAAATTAGTGGGATTGAAAATGTTGAGTGATAAAGATAACAGTAGTGATAATGGCAGTGATAATGATATTGGGAAAAAAGAAAATGATGAAAATTGCCCCTATGAGTCCAGTGATTTGCTTTTCAGGAGAAAACCCCGCGTAATGTTCCCGTGAGAAATGCCCGATAACTCATGGAAGAGCTAGTTAGCTTATAGTAACCCTTCTCCTCATAATTCCTCATTAATTTATTTATTCGTTGAGAAAAAAAAAAGAACTTCATTCTAACTTTCTTAATTCTACGTCATATAGTCTGAACAATGAAATATCCGAACATCAATCTGTAATATCTGGTCAATCATAGAAAAAAATAAAAGACGCATCTTATCATGATAATATTGGATATTGATAAAGGTAGAAATGCAAATTCAATCTAATCTAATTCAGTCCCATACTTTTAAATGTTAGAAAGCTATTTGATAATGGTGATAAGGGCGAATGAAAATAACGGATAACTAAACATAAATGCACATTAATTTAATCTATCGAGACAAAATGGAAATTTTATAAATGTTGATAATTAATAATTTAAGGATTTCGATGAAAAAAAAATTTAATAGTTGACTTGTTGTAAGTGATATAATTTATTAAGCAAACTAATTAATTCACCAACCTTTACTCCTGAGAATGGTTAGAAGTTGCGAAAGTAATAATTTCTTCTTCATGCAATGAAGATAGATGATAATAGCGAAAACGATAAGCACCACGATAAATGATATTAGAAGTATCCAAAGAGCAGTGCCGCTTTGATCTATAATGAATGTGATATAGTTAATTTATTGAAAATGGTATAGTTTATATTCTTATCCACTATTAATTAATTAATTCATTTATTTATTAATTTCTTCTACTCATTATTATTATTATTATTATTATATTATTATTATTACTATTATTATTATTATTATTATTATTATTATTATTATTATTATTATTATTATTATTATTATTATTATTATTATTATTATTATTATTATTATTATTATT